GTCCAGAAACCAGCAGGTGACAAAAGGAGCCATCATCTTGGCAGGAGTACTTAAACTTAATCTCCAGAATGAAGTAAGGCTTCTTTTAGCATGAGGGGGCAGAGAAGAATACGTGTGGAATACCAGCTTTGTGGTATTCCCTTGTTCAACTTTAATGGTAAATGGACATGTGCAGCAATCCTAGTTTGAGCAAGGTATGATTATGTAGGGCTCAGACCGATCAGGAATCAGTGTTTGGGTCACATCGCCAGGCAAACCAGCAGGACCTCTGAGACTATCTGCAGAGACAGGGATGTAATTTTTCCTCCTAACCTTCCTCTTAAAATTTCTCTCAGGAAGAGGGGCCCACAGGAATGAGGGACTACTTCCTGAAAATGTGTGGAGGAGAGACTCTGTGAGACATATAAGGGGTGGACTGTGGTGGCCATGGAAGTGTACAACTCGGATATCCCTTCAGGTAAACCTGCTGCAAGAATAGTTGGAAAATAGCCTCCAGTTGCCACATTTTAGGGAAACACTAAAACTGGTGCTCTTCCTGGGCTGTCCCTTGCCCATAACTAAGCACAACAGAACTACTAGAGCCAAGCAAGTCCCATCTGACACAGCACTCAGTCTTTGTTTCGAGACCGTACTGATTTCTCTGCCCAAGTTTTCTTTTCTTCTCTCCTTTCACAGATGTCAATCTTGCATCAGAAACTAAAGGCCATTACTATGCAACTCTGTACCCCACGGGTATGTACAATCAACTATGTTACAAAAAAATAAATAAATACTACTACTAATAAAACTAAAGGGTTTTCCTGCTCCTGCTCCTTCCCTTTATCCTCTGTAGGCATTTTTCCTAGTAAATCACTTGCACATCTAATTCTGTCTTGGAATCTTCTTCTCACTGGATTCAAATTGACACATTAGATAATGCCAATGAAGTTTTCATCATTGTGATTAGAACTAAGCACTAATATGGTATAGAAACTGTTTTTTTCTTAATTTAAAAAGATTTTTTCTGGTGGCTGGCTGGTAAGGGGATCTGAACCTGTGACCTTGGCATTACCAGGACCACATGAAATTGTTTATTTCTTAAGCCACTTTCTCATTCCTTCTAACCATGAAGCTATGAATATTTTGTATGCCCTTAAGTTTGGTTTTGTAAACAAAGTGGTATAATTATATTGTATTTATTAATTTGAAATAAAAATATTTATCTATACTATTTGCCATATGTGTAATATCTATTATAGAAGTATAGAGGAGAAAAATTCAAATATAGTGTATTATAGTTAGTAATATAATATACCCCTTTTCTGCTTTTATATATTACACTTTAGAGGAAGGTGAATTTTTTTCTGGAATCCATCTCTGATCATTTAAAAGTTAAACAGTAAACAGCCTAAATAGAAAAAAAATCTTTTACCTAGTTTTCAATTGTGCCACTGTTGAAAAACAAGAAAAAAGGTGCTTTTAATTTGCATAAAATCATCTTCAAAGACAGATACATGTTGGTGTTGTTGCAGGTACAGAGGGTGGGTTGTTTGGTCTTCTACTGTTTCTTAGCTGACAACTGCAGTAATCTGTGATAATGAATTGAAATGAGAACATGTAAAAACAGAGTAATTATAGCTAAGTTTACACCTGAATAAATGCAGAAAATACAGGGTGCATTAGTAATGATGACCTTATCGCTTCTGCATTTGTCTAACAAGAATAAAGTATTTAAGTCACTGCTATATCAACTTTGGGTTTACATTATTTTTTAGATCACACTTTCTTTAGGGATTGTATTATCTGCTCGTAAAGGACATATATTTCAGACACCTGCCTAAGAAAGAAGATGCAAAAAGTTATTTCTAATAAAGCTAATGTTTGTATCAGACTACGAGTTAATTAATTTAGAAAAGTATGCTGTATATGTTTGAGTGGCTTTTCCTATGCATAACTTCTTGTCAAAGACTGCCTCCAACTGCAGCCCTTGCTGAGTAGCTATGAATTATACCATGTGAGTTTTCACTTTGTGGCCAAAGCCACATCTCTTGTCCTTTCTATTGCTCTTCAGCTGGTTTTGGAGTTTCAACTGCCTGCTGGAGTTTCCACCTGAATGGCCTAGAGTTACCTCAAATTTATTCTGCAGTGTAATAAAGAATTTGGCTGGCCTTTGTCTCTGGTCCTTGGGATGGAACCTCTAATCCTTGGATTTCCCAAGTGATAGGAATGTTTGTTATTTATGGTGGCCCCAGTGGACCAGACCTGAGTTTATGCTAATAGGATAACTCATGGAGAGCCCCTAGATAGTTTATGCTGATGAGATGAGTGAGGATGGGGTCTGACCACTCCAGAAAGACCTATCCTATGATTAGAGGGTTGGGGCCTGATGTCTGGGGAGGAGATGGGGGCTGGAGACTGAGTTCAACTTTGTAGCTAATGATTCAGTAAATCATGCCTATATGGTGAAACTCCAATAAAAATGCTTTATAATGAAGCTCAGTTCAGTTTTCTGGTTAGTGATATACATTGATGTACTAAGAGGATGATACATCCTGAGAACATAGACACTTCATGTTTGGGAGCCTCCCAGATCTTGTCCTATGCATTTTTTCATTTGGTTCGTCCTGATTTTTATCCTTTATATCAAAACTATAATATAAGTATAGCACTTTCCTGAATTCTGTGAGTTCTAGCAAATTGTCAAACATGAGAGGTTAGCGGGAACCTCTAAGTTTGTAGCCAGTTGGTCCCAAGTGTGGGTGGCCTGGGAACCCCAGATCTTGTAACTGGAGTCTGAGATTAGGGAAATATTGTGGGTTCTGTGCCCTTAACTTGTGACGTCTGACCTAAGTTGGGCCATTAGCGTCAGAACTACATTGCACATTCTTTAAATCCTAAAGCATAATCCTTCCCCACAGCCAATCATTCTATATGCTGAACTTTCTGTTTCTCTTCCCACATTATTAGCCATTCAGTCAATTTCCTCATCCTTCACAAGTCTCTCACATGCATCTCCTTCAGTTCACATCCACTGTCACGTGTGTAGCCCTTTTTTGCCTGGGCCTTAAACTGGCACATCTTTATTATAATCTGTTCTGTACTTCCAAGTCAAATTTATTTCATTTCCCCTTCCTCAAAGCTCAAATATCTTTTTGAGAGATGTCTGTTTAGTGCCCACTGCAACATCTTTCAAGACACAGGCATGAATTTACATTGAATAAATGTCTTCCTGCTGCTCAAACTCCATAGCTCCAAGAAACCGCCCACGTTGACTCCTACACCTCTTCAACCCTATCTTCTCTCACTATCATAAATGAATCCTGTGCGCCATACCAATTACTTCACTCATTACTTTGTTTACTACCCAACAAACAATATGGGTCCACTTCCGTTCATTTAGACAAACTGTGCATGTCTGAAAATGCTGTTTTGCTCTCTACTTGTCTAAGCTCCACCTTCTCTGAGAATCTTTTTGGGTTTACCCATTCAGCAGAGATTGCTGTCCCCTCCAAATTCTTTGTAGCACATATTGTATGCATACTGTATGTATTGTCATTCTCATTTGGCTTCTGGTATAAACCACCTGGGATTTTTGCTTAATTTTAATTATTCCAGGTTCTTTTGAAAACTATACCATGGACTTATGAAAACTGGCAAATGTAATATAACATTTCATGATCTCAAGGACTAACATGTAAAAAGGTGTATAAACTTTTCAGTTTTGCTATAGATTTTCTCTTATTCTGTCTAATCAGTACAGGCAGTCAAGTCTGATTTGTAAAAACAATGAAGGTGGGGAAAATACCTTAGCTACTAATTCTGAAGTGTTCTAATCAACACCATAACTTAAATGTTCTTGACATTTTAGAAACAGTATTGTCCATACTGTCCTGCTTGTAGCCACAGTTACAGAGAAACTGACATTTATTTGCTGCTCTTCAATAGGGCATGTGTGATTTTTCTTTTATTTGTTTTAATTCAAACTTTTCTCACTTGACTGTCCAAAGACAACAAAGGCTCAAATCTCTCATCATAGAACCAAACCAATATGCACTTGTAATCATAATGGGGTGGCCCTCACTCTTTTCAAATAGAGAAGGAACCATGTCCCAAACATTTTTTAAGCAATACAGTATTTTCAGTCAGTTTTGCATCCTTAATTTGGCATTTCTTCTTACGCCCATATTACTGCATATAACTAAAGACTAAATATCGCATTCTTTAATTTCTCATCTTGTGGCAAAGAGAAGGAAAACAAGACTCCAGTCTCACTCATCAAGAGTAATACACAATTCGGCATTTATTTAATGGAGGCATGTCTTTGGCAGAAATGGCCTTTGTGGGAAAAAAACACCTTTAAAAAAAAATCAAATCCTGGAAGTCACTGCAGGGAATTTACTAAGCCTCTTGGGCAAATGGGTACTAGGGCATTATTAGGTTTACATTTGTTTTAAAGAGGTTTATATGTTCCAGATCTGACTGATCAATAATACTACTAAAAACCTAGGGTGTTATAAAGCAGAAATTTTTAAGTTTGGAGCATCTAATCTACAAATAAAGATGAATGTGCTTGAAAATAAAGATAAAGTGAATAATGAAAATTTACTTCTCTGAAAAACCTTAACTGATAAATTTCAAATTTCTCTGTAAGAGTTCACATTATTTTTACTTACTGTCAATGGGAATACATTTTTACAGATCTTGCTTTGTCAGATATAATCTTATAGTTGTTCTATATTCCTACACCTGAGTTGATGGTTTCTTTCAAGTAGTATTTCAACCATTTACAGGTTTGCAGGTCAATACACGTTTTAAAATGCTTGGTGGGAAATTTTTAAATTAACTCCTATCAACTCAAGGGGATAGCAAAACTACGTACTGATATAATAGTCTATAAAATAACATGATGAGTGAAAAGTTCAATTATTTTTACTTTCTTATTTCTGCCTCTTGAATTACTTGTTAAGCATTATACTGAGCTGATAAGAAATCAGACTAGCAGAAAGAAATGTAGACATGTACATATTTTAAATACTTGTTTATTTTCAAATTTTACAGATATGTGATAGGGTCTGGTGACTGAAGAACATAGTTGGATCAAAGTTGACTGCAGGAGTGAGCCAATGAACACTTGTAGGTGGAACAAAAACATAGACGACTGACTGCTTTTTGGTGAAGGCCCCCTGTTCCAACCACTGGAGGTTCCAACGTCTTCCATGTTGAACAGAATTGTCTTTGCAGAAAAGTACCTGAAACCAAACCAGATGCACATGGGTTGAGAAAAGCTTCGTGGGAAATTTTGCACATGCAGTAAAGGGTTATGTTATGGCAACAGTGTGTTATATGCTTACAGAGCAGAGTAAACTCTGAAATAATGCCTGAAATGAGAAAGTGTAGAATAGCTACCAGTGTTTCTTAGAGATCCTCATACATTGCGTTAGAGAAGACAGTGGCCAGCAGATAGTGGCAAGAGTGGTGAGCAGGGAATAGATTTTACTCTATCACCAAGGGGAGGTGTTTGGGCTGTAAGTACGGGAAATGTAAACTGCCCCAAAGATGACACCCTGGAGTTTGGTGCATATTTCTAGGGCTGAGTTGAATAGTGAACCCTTATGTCAGGATTCTGCTCACACTGCCCATTTGTCTTTTTTGATTCCGTGGCTTTCTGGACTCCTTTGTGAGAGCCAGGATTACTTTGGAAACAAATTGTTTTGAGTCTCTGATTGGGATTCCAAGTTATATCTCTTTCTTTCTTTGATGAACATCTGACCATTTCCAAGGAAGTTAAATTTGATTCAAATTTTGGAAGTGGGATGAAGATAAAGAAAGAGAACAAGGAAAGGCAGCATTTTACCTAGAAGAGATACATCAGTAAGTTTTTCACATCAGAAACACACTGCCTAATTCAGGAAATATCATTCATTGAACAATCATTTTATTAGCATTTCCTACATGCTAATACAATGCTAAGTTCCTTAGAGCTATAAAGACAAATAGGACATGTTTCTGCCCTAAAGAAACTTACATCCTAATGGGGGACACACACAAATAAGCAAAAAATGACAGTACAATGCATTACATGATCTGATGGGCTTGCTGGAGGTACCTGGGGGAGGAGACCTAACTTACTTCAGGGGGAAGGGGGAAGGGTCAGAAAATATTTTCAAAGAAATAGTGGCTAAGTCTCTAAATTTTGAATATTTGTGTTTGCGAGTTTGTTTGTGTAAAGGGCTATCGTCATGACAAAGTAATTATACTTGTCATTATAAAGACGAGTTAGTATTGGGTCTTGAATGTCAACTTAGGAATTCTGATTTGATAGAAATAAGATATTTAAATTTTTAAGCTGGATGCAACAAAAAACTGAAATTCTTTTAAGGCTTTCAGTCAGTAGGGCAACCAGATGAAAGGGGACTGGAAGCAGGGAGGTAAGTTAGTAATTTATTTATTTTTTTCAACGTCTTAAGGGTGGGGCAGTGAAGACTTGAATCTGGGAGGGTAATTAATAGGAAAGCACAAATTGCCAGAATGTGAGTCTGAATTCTGCTTGTCTCAAGTGGTTTTTCCTCAGGAACGGTCATTTGACTGAAACTAGAGGAGAGAAGAAAGCCATAAATTAATCAGCAAGAGCACCCGACTGATAACTGGTTCAAAGACTGTGAAACTCTCTTGAGATGTAAATACTCATACAGGTTTTGAAAGAGACACAGGAATAGATGTAAACAGAGAAGAAGGTATAAGTTGCCCAGATGAAGGTATTATCATCCACTTACTCATTTACTCCTTCATTTAACAATGCTGCCGCTGTTGTTTAAAAAGATAGAAATGACAATGTGAAAGGACTGTCACTAAATAATGTGAGTATGGCCAACAGAAATTTGTGAGTTAAGATAAATTTTAATATGCCCAAATATTATTTTAATACTGAATGGTCTTTAGAAGAAAGTGATATGTGGCACTTAGGATAGTTCTAGTATGAGGATTGAGCCAACTCAAAATAATTTGTCCTAATAAATGTCATGGAGAAAAAGAGGAAGAAAACATTCAATGAGCTCTTATTTTCCAGACACTGTGCTAGGTGCTTTACTAGAACAAAAATACTTTTTGAATTAGAATCTGCACATATCACATTTTATCATTTTAGTTGAAAAATTTAATAGAATGGCATTAGTTAATTCTAATGTATAAGGTTAGAACATTAATAATTTTGAACAATAATTTAGAGTTCAATAAGTACAAGTTCTGACTGAATTAAAAACTTTTAGGTAATTAGTTAAGAATGGCATATTCTTCAGTACACATCTTTCTACCTCTGTTTATATGTAGTTTTGTTGGTGCCTATGCTTTATATTCAATCCTATGAAGATGGTAATTTTTGATCTCCTTGCTGGTAGAAGCCACTTTCTGACAGGGCCATTTGCACATTTTTCTCAGGGATGGATCACCTCAAATTCATCACTGCCACAAGAAAATTAACAAAGCAGGTATCTTACAGATCTCAGGTCTCAATGATACATGAAGGGCAGTGTGCAATTGCACAGATATAAATGAAAACCAATATTTTCCTTCTTGAAACATTCTAATTTATCTCTCAGTTATCTTTTTCGAAGTATTCATGATTTGAGGTAAAGAAAAAAAAACTGAGTAAAAGCCTATTTATAACAAAATAAATTACCCTTTGATATCCAGTGCAGAAACCTAGTATCTGAGAAAAACAGAACTCCACAAAGGCTTAATATATTCAGAATTCGACAAAGTGTGACCCATTTACTGAAGCAGAAAATGCACCACAGGTTTCTCAGTGTTTCTCTTTTTTCCTTCCAAAAGCAGATAAATCATATCTATCAGGCAAGAAAAGAACTGCTTCTAAACTTACTTATTTAGGGTAAAATGGGGAAAGAAAAAAAAAGGGGAAAAACATAAGAATTTTGACTCAGAAAGACACCCTCAAAATATAAAATGTGGTGCATCTAAAAAGATTTCATAGAAATGTCAAAATATGGAAAACAGAAAACATTTGATGAATTTATGGAAAGAAAACCAGCACTTACTATAGATCCCCTCAGGCCCTTTACATATTGTGAAGATATTGAACAATTTATAGAAACCACATGTTTATGTTGTAGTTTTTCATAGGAAACTTCAAAAATTTGTGTCAGAATTTTAAATGTATTGGAAAAAAATAAGCATTATGATGCAAAATGCTCACTCTGGATAGGTATTCTCCTAGGTGCTCATTTCTATGGTAGTACCTTTTATATTTTTCTGCAGGTACCAGTTTAATTTTCTCTCTTAACTAAACTAGCAACTCCTCAAAAATGGGGAACTCTGTCCACCCTCATGTGCGCAGTCCCTTGTACTGCACTTTCACAGCAGATGTATCAACAAGTGTTTGCCGAATGCAAAATCTATATTAAAGTATAGATTGAGATACCTTTATATTACTCAAGTGTTTACAATAGACCAATATGTTCATTGATTGTGTTTAAACTGTATCCTCCCAAAAAGGACATACATAAAAGAAAATTCATTTATTTCATTTAACAGCCTTATGAAATACCAAAGTAGCATGTTATTGTAATTAATATCAATTAATTAATATTAATTACTTTAAAAATTTCAAGTGGTGAACATTAGGTTGAAAACTAGGACAATGACTGAGAGATTTCATTTCTCAACCACATTTTTAGGTTTCACACTGATTCATGCTTTAAGCCAAAGTCAGAGCCAGAACTCAAATTGAGTTTCCTAACAATTTAGGTGTTCTGTCTTTTTATTTACTTTAGTATAAATTCCAAATTATACAGATGGATTTAAAAAGGCTTTCAAATGCAGTTCATGCTTTAAGCCAAAGTCAGAGCCAGAACTCAAATTGAGTTTCCTAACAATTTAGGTGTTCCGTCTTTTTATTTACTTTAGTATAAATTCCAAATTATACAGATGGATTTAAAAAGGCTTTCAAATGCAGTCCCTTTATTCATTGACAATCAGTCCCAATGGCCTGGTAGATCAGATCAGATATGGCTAGAATCAGGTATGGCAGATCAAATTAAGAAAAAGAAAAAAATTGGAAGTAGCTTTTGGGATCCTTATAAACCACTTCCAGTCTAAAGCCACAAGGACAGAAATGATCAATAATGGCAGCCATTTGGTTTTATTTATTTCTTTTAATGAACATGCTCACAACTCACTAAAAGCATTCTTGCAGGACTGGAATGTATTTCAATTCTCCTGTGACTGACAGAAATAGAGCCTTTGATAAAACCTGAAGGGGTTGTGCTGCTCTCCACCGTCTCTCCCCTGCCCTCATCTTTAGTCCTTGGTGCTGTTTAACTCAGAAATTATGTCACCTTGGTACATACAGACTGACAAGCAGTTGATTGGCAACTCTTAGATAAATTCTTGTCATGGTCCCTGATGCAATTTATTTTAGAAAAGCATCCCAAAACTGTGGATCAGTTTCAAATATGTAAAGTCTGGTAAATGTAGGCATAAAATCCTGAAGAAAAAATGGGCCCTGAGCTGCTTTAATCATTCTATTAATATTCAATAGGATAGTTTCCATTTCTGTAGTCACTGCCCTAGTTCAAGTAAGCATTAATTTGTATCTAATAAAGTTTCATTCATACTGTGGATACTTAAAAATTACTTTTGATAAATGAACAACATCTGGATTATTGCAACGGCCTCTTAACTTGTCCTACTTATCCAGTTTCTTCCAATTATTGTCTATTTTATATCTAAGTACCAGAAAAGAAAAAAAAAAAAAACCCTCTTGATTTTTCACCATATTTAATTCCCTGCTTATGACACTAGTTTTCTTATTTAAAGAAATCAAAATTCCTGTGCCTGAGATTAAATTTTCTCCATCCGTTTTTCTAGGCTCTCATTTCTTTTTCTTTTTTTGGCAGCTGGCGGTATGGGGTAGGTTTTCATCTCTTACTATCTAATCAATCTTTTCTTACTTCACTGCATCTATATTTTTATAAAAGTGTGTTTTAATTGTTTGGTGTCTTCCAAGTATGGTCAAAATCTTAAAAATGCAATTTCAAACATTTCAACAATAAATATACTAGCCCATTGGTAAACAAAGAATAGAAGAAGGTCTCTATGATTTCAGATAAAGCTCCTT